CCCCAAAACCCCAAAACCCCAAAACCCCAAATGCTCAGATTACAATGGTTATGCATAATTCAGCAATTAAATATTTAATAAAATTTAAGAAATAATAAATCAAGAACTAAAATAAGTGTACTAAATGAAAAGCTAGCAAATAGAGTCACACTTCATACATACAAATTAAATTTTTTCTATTTGCAAATTTTATTCTCTAATATATCAATATTCGTGCCAGAAAATCTTTTAGTCATATTTTTCCTTTGTTTGGACTTAGATTTAGATTAATCAAATTTTTTGTTTGAATTAGGAACATGCTTAAAAAGAATCATGGGTTTTGTCTTTAGTTGGATATAATTTTTCATTTGAACTTTGTATTATATGTTCTTCGGATTCTCCTTAATTTTTTTAATGGCACTAATCAAAGTAAGTTAGCTTAGTTAAAGAAGAAGATTATATGCGATAACAAAAGCAGGGTAATGACTTCCAACAGAATCATCTAAATTATATATTTTATTTTCGATGTAGTCGGTTGTCAGGACTTGTTTTGAAAAATAATAGCAAAAAAAATAAGCATAGAGTTCTGTGTTTATCAAGTCATATAGCTTTTCTAAAGAAAATGAGTAGAGCGATTCATGAAGCATTTTCATTTTAGAATCAGATATCATGCTCATCTTGATTTTGCAATCTTAGCTTTATTGTTTTGGGTTGATTTCTTCATTTTAATCATAATCGTTGTGAAGTGATTTATACATTTCTTTAGGATATATCAAACAGCCGAAGAAAAACATCAAATCATTTGGAATTAATTGCTTCTCATCATTCATTTACCATTCCTAATCTTAGAATTTGGTACACAATTCAGGAAATCTGTATTTGAGGTAAACAGCAATCTGTCTGATAAAGAATTGTTTTTCTTGACGATTTTTTATTAAGATAAATCCAGTCACAGCATTGAAGTCTTTTGAGAAGTATTTTCTCATATCCCTTGAAATTGATTTGTATAAAATGTCACTTCTTAAATAACGATTTCCCTTTTCATCATATGACCTGTAAATTTTACCACTAGATGGGTTCACATAAAGAAACTCTTTATCTCTATTGTCAGAAAGCACAAGACTTCCTTTTCTTCTATAATCTGGAATCTATTCTAGCAAATTTTGTTTAATCAAGTCAATATTTTGCTCTGTATTATAATCATGATTTTACTTAGTTTTTGGAGTTACCATTTCCTCTTTAATTGTTTACTTGATCAAGCTTATCTTCATTGGGTCATGATCTCGAATAAGTGAATAGATATCCTTGATATTTGTAATAGAATTCTTGTTATTTATTACTTAAACTCCACACATTGAAAATCCTTTGTTGCATTCAATCTATTTTGGTATTTGATTAAGATCTTTTTTCTGATGATCATTTTTGGATGAAAATTCGTCAATTTCATTGTGTAGTAAACTTTATATTGCTTGAAATCTCATGATAGTCCTGTCTTGGATTATTGAAGGTAGTAATGATAATGTTTTAATTAAAATATTATATCAAATTAGTTTTAGAGTATTAAAATGTGAATAAATAATCATTAACCGAATCAAATATCATTCTAACGCTAAGGGGTTTTGGGGTTTTGGGGTTTTGGGGTTTTGGGG